TAGTTTTAAGGCGAGGTATGATAGAGCTCATGGGGCAGGGAGAGAGAGGACCTAGTAGCAATCAGCGAAGAGGCGGGGCCAGGAGCTGTGACTCGACCCCTGCAACCACAAATAGGTGAGTACACACACACACACACACACACACACACACACACACACACACACACACACAGTCACTGGACAGATTCCTGTAACTACAAGAGGTTCTCAAAGCTTGTAGTTGTGTGGGGGTGGACTTGTAAATATGCTGAGTCACCAGCGTGTCTTGTGTCACAAAGATGCATCATACCACCACTCGCTAATCCTCACTGCCTTCCACAACACATTCCTTCCTCCCCACACACCTACCTTCCTTCTTTCCTTCCTTCCTTCCATCCTCTCATCTCTTCCTACCTACCTTCCCTCCTTCCTTCCTTCCTTTTTTTCTTCATTCAAGTAATTTTATGGCCTGTGAGACCAATATAAGGTATACTGAATGTATATTCACTCGAATTCTACACAATAACCGCACAGTTATTATATTGTTTACAAAACATGTTTACACAAACCAACAACAAAAAATGTTGTTTATTACTATTTTTCTATCACATATATACACACAAAGTCACTGGACACTTCCCAGAACTGCTACAGCATCTGTAAAGCTCACAGTTGTTGTGTGGGGGTGGACTTGTAAATATGCTGAGTCACCCGCATAGTGTCACAATGACAAATCATACCATCACTCACCACCCTCACTGCCTGTCAACACCCATCTTTCCTCCCCACCCCACCAACCCATAAGGAAATAAGTCACTGTCTGAATTTTTTGGGTTATCCTAGGTTGGTCTCCTTCCTTCCTTCCCCCCTTCCTTCCTTCAGGTTTCCTGGGCATTGCTTTTGGTCACAAACTCCTCAAAGCCACGAAATTCATCTTCACTGACACTTCCATCTATGTTTGAACTGTCACTTGCCAACAAAAGAGCCAAATTAGCCAAGGAGTGAGGAGTTTCTTAGCGCTAGACATGGTGAACAAGGTGTAATAAAATGGCTTTCTCACAATGCACCACTGGGTTCCTGATTTATTTTGTACCGCACACACTGACCATGGAGACCCATTCTCTCACATCTAGGCGTACCAGCTGTTTCCCAATTTTACGTGTACTAGTACAGCACAGTACAGTACTAGAATTTACACGTACTAGTACAGCACCAACCCTGGCGCATAAGCCATACTAGCATGGCACCAACTCTGAAAGGGTTAAATAAGCCACCCTGGGCCCAAAGAAAGCTCCTAGTGCCAGTCCTTTGGTAAAGAAAGTGAGAAACACGATAAAATTAAAGAAAGAAATCATAGCAAAGTACCAAAGTGGAAGAAGAAGAGAGAGGGGAGAATGTGCCTTATTCAGTGATTCTATGATATGCACAATACTAAAGCAGCACGAGTCGATAAAGGCTATAGCGTCAGCCAGCGATAGTGTAGCATTAACAGCGTAGCAAGAAGTTAAGTGATTAACTGATAGAAAAAGGACAGCATGAACCTAACTCCTACAATGTTGGAGCTATATAGGTTTACTGGGCTACTGACAACACCGCCATCTCTGCTGCCACCTTCACCACCATAGACGGCTTATGTTCTCAGTGGCCCTTATACACCCAAAAACAACATACATACATACATGACATATTGTTTATTATGACATATTAGATGAATTGTGATAGATAAATAAGCCGTGAAGTTAATATTAGTGTTGTATTGAAGCATACTGTCCTGTCTCCAACAAGCTCGCCTCCCTCCCCCCTCCTCCCAGGCTGCCATACACCAACAAGAGTCTTTAATAAAGATAAGTGTGATATTCCTAGGTAGTAGGTTGCTAGACAGCACCTGCCCAGGGAGGTACTACCATCCTGCCAAGCGAGTGTAAAACGAAAGCCTGCAATTGTTTTACATGATGGTAGGATTGCTGGTGTCCTTCTTTCTGTCTCATAAACATGCAAGATTTCAGGTATGTCTTGCTACTTCTACTTACACTTAGGTCACACTACACACACATGTACAAGCATATATATACACACACCCCTCTGGGTTTTCTGCTATTTTCTTTCTAGTTCTTGTTCTTGTTTATTTCCTATCTCCACGGGGAAGTGGAACAGAATTCTTCGTCCGTAAGCCATGCGTGTTGTAAGAGGCGACTAAAATGCCGGGAGCAAGGGGCTAGTAACCCCTTCTCCTGTAAAAATTACTAAATTTGAAAAGAGAAACTTTTGTTATTCTTTTTGGGCCACCCTGCCTCGGTGGGATATGGCCGGTTTGAGGAAAAAAAAAAAAGTGTGATGTTAAATGTTAATTTATACATTTTATTAGTATGTACACCTACCATCCGACTTACGACCGAGTTCGGTTCCGAGAAACCGGTCGTAAGTCGAAATGGTCATAAGTCGAACTTTACTACTGAATATCAACAAAACATTTTTGAAATGACTATTTTATTGTTTTATTTTGGTATTTCATGCTTTACTTTACTTTTTATGTTGTCAGTACTGTATTTTATACTGTAAGGTTTAGGATAAACACTGTGTACAACACAAATAGCTGTTTATTTCCCAGAAATTTGGCATAAAAAGCACGGTCATAAGTCGAGTGGTCGTAAGTCGAGTGGTCGTAAGTTGGATGGTAGGTGTACTTTATATTTATTTGTCATTCTTTTCTGTGTGTAACTATATTTAAGCTAAAAACAAATTTTTTTTTGTTAACCCTTTCAGGGTCCCCAGCCCTCTTCCAGACTTGTTCTTATGAAAAGACAGAGAATCTTTTCCCGATCAAAATGACACCAAAAGTATGAAATTTGATGGAAAACTTATGGAATTATGCTCTCGCTAAGTTAGCGGTCTCAACGATGTTTACACATTGGCGATTTTGCCCACTTTGACCCCTATTTTCGGCCAATTCCAGTGTACTAGTCGACAAAAATCATAACATTTTGCTAGAACTCCATTTTTTTCTATCGAATGAGTACAAGAAACCCATTTACCGATTTCAGCTATCCAATAGTGGGCGGAATTTAGTAATTTTGCCAATTTCACACAAATTTCAAAAGATGCCAATTTCTAAATAGATTCCAGAATAAACAAGAAAGACATTCATGGAACCAAAATAACATTTCCTCTGTTCATTAGTCACCTCCCCATGCCCCTCTTACATTCTTCTGTTTTACACTTTGAATTTTTATTCTCACAAAAAATAGATTTACTGTTATGCAGACTACTGCATTAGTGTAGAAATGGTATAAATAATATCGGCGCACTTGTGAAAGAATATTAGACTCACCAGTTGACGTGTATTGGATGATTAGCATGATTTGTTTACTTTTGAACTATGGTAAAAATCGAACATTTCTGCTACTTTGAGCTCAATTTCAAGGTACTTATCATTATAAAACCAGTCAAAATCATCTCAATTTCTGTAATATGTCTTCCATTCTATAAAATGAGACCAGGAAAACCAGAATACAACAATAAATACCACCGAAAAATACAGTGCAAAGTCGGTTTTAATCCAAAAACATGGTCAAGTTTTTTTTCTCATTACGCACTGTGTGCTGCAGGATTTTTTTTATACTGCACACACTGACCACATAGACCCATTCTTTCATATGTAGGCCTACCAGCTTTCTCTCACTAGATTTGAGGGCGCTAGAATTTAGGCATACTAGTACGTCAAAAACCCTGGTGCGTAAGCCATACTAGTACGTCCAAAACCCTGAAAGGGTGTCTGAAATGGATTAACTGGATTTACATTATTTCTAATGGGGAAAACGGTCTCCGTTTTCGCCAATCGTTCTGGAACAGGTTAAACACGAAAAAAGAGGGTCCACTGTAGTTATAAAAGAACAAAAAGTAGGTAGACTTCTTATCCCCTTGACTGTCGCAACCCCCAATCCTGAGGTGTCTCCTGGTGTCGCAAAATTAAAAAAAAAATCCTGCCAAGTGAGTGTAAAACGAAAGCCTGTAATTGTTTTACATGATGGTAAGATTGCTGGCATCCTTTTTTCTGTCTCATGAACATGCAAGATTTCAGGTATGTCTTGCTACTTCTACTTACACTTAGGTCACACTACACATACATGTACAAGCATATATATACACACCCCTCTGGATTTTCTTCTATTTTCTTTCTAGTTTTTATTCTTGTTTATTTCCTCTTATCTCCATGGGGAAGTGGAACAGAATTCTTCCTCCGTAAGCCATGCGTGTTGTAAGAGGCGACTAAAATGCCGGGAGCAAGGGGCTAGTAACCTCTTCTCCTGTATATATTACTAAATGTAAAAGGAGAAACTTTCGTTTTTCCTTTTGGGCCACCCCGCCTCGGTGGGATACGGCCGGTGTGTTGAAAGAAAGAAAGAAGCACATCAGACAACTCGTGTGCAATCTATAAAACTTTATACAGCATTTCAGTTTAATCCAAGTGACAAGGTTAGGGTCAACTAAGAAATAAATTATTGGCATAATTAATGAGTGAATTATTTCATTTGAATAATTAGCTTTGCTCTGCCTGCTTACCCTAACCCATTATATTAGGTGAATGATCAGTTTTATTATTCCCCTTAGCATGTATACACACATGTACAAGATTATGATAATTTATTAATCGGCAAAATAAAAGTTAATTTATTTCAAAGGATAAAATGTAATTTTCACACTTAAACCAAATCATTCTAAATGTTCCAATATTGCAACCTATCTCTCAGACTACTGTACATAGACATGCTCAGTGATCTGATCATTATAGTATTCTTTTTTTAACATGTCAGTCGTCTCCCACTGAAGAAAAAACTTTCATTCAATACTTTCACCTCATTCATACATAATCACTATCTTTGCAGAGGCACTCAGATATGACAGTTTAGAAGTAAACCTCCAAACACCCAATATCCCAAACCCCTCCTTTAAAGTGCAGGCATTGTACTTCCCATTTCCAGGACTCAAGTCCGGCTAACCGGTTTCCCTGAGTCTGTACATACCTGTTTATTAATCTGATCATTCTGGTAGTTTCTGGTTTGAAACATGGCTTTAGTACGTTGGATGTACACCAAGATGTTGGAGAAGGTGCGAATAGCATCAGCATAGCGACGCATCATCATGTAAGCAAACCCTACATAATAATAAGTTGTAATTTGACAGGCAGGTACTCGAGAGTACATGGATTTCTTGTTTAATTCTATGTTTTCCAAAACCTGAAAATAAAGTACGCATTGCTAAATTAAACTGACTTTTTTTTTAATTAGAATGGCAAATAACTAATTTGTCTTCATCATTTAACTCTCGTTCGAAAATAATTCATCACAATTTATATATGTACTCTACTTTCATTGCACTGGACAACAAATTTTGACAAAAGTTTTAGACTGTCACCTATGCTGATTTTGAATAAAAAATCACAGTTAACCTAACATATGAATTTTTAGTTACATAAAAATAATAAATAAATTTTTAAAGCATTCTGAGTATTGCTGACAAGCTGGAAGCAATTTAAAAATAATACATAACAAATACATATTACACATTTTCAGAGTGCTCACTTATTCTGAGCACAGCACAGCTGATAAGCAACCACAGGACACTTGAAAAATAGAGTAATTGTGCATGTGCTCTATGTTTAATAAATAATGCCTAAAAACACACTTTCCTGCACCTAAAAATCCTGACATGCTAGGTCAATAGAGACTTCAATTTGGAACTGGCATATTTAAGTAACTAAGCCCCCCCCCCTTAGGTAGTATAGTATATACAGTACAGTACAACAAGACCTCAATTTGTATGAATTTGAACAGTATGAAATTAGATTTAGTATGAATTATAAAATGACACCAGACCTTATTTAATAAAGAGTCAAAATTCAGATCAAGTTGGCTGCCCACCTCATTTGCTCCTACGACATGCACATGGCAATAGCAACTCTAAAACAGGCTGAGATGTTGGAATGCAAAAATCCGCATTACATAATAATATAAAGCACGCAGATGAAATCAAAGAAAAATGTACAGCTGCATTAGCTTTTTGTGACTTTCAAACAACTACTAGAATTAGAAGCATTACAGTGATAGAAATGGAGTGTCTTATCAAACAAAAACTCCCCTTCTCTTTACTGCAGTGAAAAAACTGAAGAAACTTTTATTGCAAGGAATGATTGGTATGACTATTATAGAAATCAAATTTAGTTATATTTGTTAAAATTATTGGAAGTCTGCCAGTGCAGAAAAAAATACAAAAACTGCTGCTAAGTATCCCAATTTTTTTTTTGAAGAATATAATGGAAGATGGTGGATACCCAAACTAACAAATCTGAAAACATTTCCCATGCCTGGGGAGAATTAACTGCAAATAATATGCATAAAGTGTGGAAAAACATTTTGCTTCATTGCACAAAAAATTTTGAGGGCTTTCCTTCTCAAGCTGTTGTTGAAGAAATAACAAGACAATGGAAGGCAGTTTAGTTTTGATGAACTGGACTTTACAAGCGTCCGTGACTTGCTTGAATCACACTCAGAAGAAATGACTGATGGAGGCCTTCTTAATTTAGATCAATAATAAAATGTAATAAAGTTTTTGTTATTAAGTTTATAGTGAACTTGAATACGAAATACATTTATTCTTGTCTGGTAATATCTTAAAAATTTTAACTGCATACTATTTTCTTTGGAGTGAGGCCAATTACCATACTTCGTGTGTTATAATGGCTTCGAATAGTACAAATGCAATTAATGCAATCATTTAGAGGGGTTCATTATTCGTAGTGATCAGAGCTTTGTTGTACGTATTTGTCTTATACGTAATTAGCAAACATATTCAAGCCTCTACTACTCTGTGCTTAAGGACCCACAGGTTCATTTCAATGTATATATGACTACATTAAATTTATCACAAATCAGAAACTGAAAAATACAACTTTATTTTACCTTAATAGCTTGATAGTAGTCCCCGAGAAGAGAATGAAGCCGAAGGAGACCAATGAGAGAGAAGTAACCCAACATTTTGTAGAGAGGATGACGGCCAAATTCCCCTGCTACACTGTCAGGATCCCCACCACTTGTGTACACCTACACCAGTAAAGAAACACAGAGAAAAATACTTCATTGCATGCTACAAGTGGGCAACAAGGCACAGTAATGATATAGTGATATAGATATGATAAATGAAAGATTAAAAATGCTATCCTCAGAGTGTCTTTATTCTGAATACAGCCTCCTCTCACTTAACAACAGAGTTCAGTTCCTAAGACCACATCAGCAAACGAATTCATTGCTAAGTGAGGATCATACTACAATGGTAATGGGTTTGTGTCAATCATCTTTGATATTGTTTCAGTGTTACCTTTGCACCATTTATAACATTTCTGGTATATTTTTAAATGTTTATACAGTAGTGTACTGTATATTGTATTAAGCAGAATAGAGGAAATCAGCTCAAATATACATTATTTAGGTATGCATACTGGTCAGAGAGCCTTTCGTAAGTCTAAGTTGTCGGTAAACGACTATGTTGCCAAGTAAGGAGAGGCTGTAATACAAAGTTTGCTGAATGAAATATATACCTGAAATGCAAACTTAATTTATTTTTACATATATAAAAACTGACTGCTAATGTGTAGAATGACATCAACCTTTAACCCTTTCAGGATCCAGACTCCTGGTCTGAAAACTGTCCACAGGGTCAAAAAAAAAAAAAAAAAAAAAAATCTTGTGAAATGGTAGAGAATCTTTTTCTGAAGGTAATAAAAAAAAAAAGTATGAAATTTGATGGAAAATTGACGAAATTACACTCGTGAATTTTGCTGCGTGAGCAATATTTACGCATTGGTGATTTTGCACACTGACTCATTTTTTGCCAATTACATTGTTCCAGTTAGCCAAATTCCTAGCTATTTCACTAGTATTACTTCTATTTTATTGATTAGACACAAGAAATTGCCCAATCAACTATTTCAACTACCCAATAAAGTGATTTGGTAATTTGGCCAATTTCACACAAAGTTCAAAAATATTCCAATTTCAAAATGGGGTCCAGAATAAACAATGCAGGCATTCCTGGCACTAAAATAATATTTCCTCTGTTTATTAGTTACATTTCCAGGCTTTACAAATGAATACCATTTCAATTTTTTATTCACACAAAGAACTTTTATTCAAACCAAAAAATAGAAGATTTACTGTTATGCAATATTGTAATAATTGTATAAATAATATCAGCGCATTTATGAACACACATTAGACCCACCAGCTGACATGTATTGGACGCGTGACATCATTTGTTTACTCTTGAACATAAGCAAAACTTGAACATTTCTGCTACTTTGAGCTCAATTTCCATCCATTTTCAGCACAAAAACCAATCAAAATCATCTCTGTGTCTGTAATATATTGTCCATTCTATCAAATGAGACCAAGAAACTGTGAATACAAGTGTAAAAAACTTACGAATATACACTGCAAAATCGCTGTTTTAATCCAAAAACATTATCACAGTTTTTTTTCTCATTATGCACTGCGTGCTGCAGGATTTGTTTTACATGGTGTACACTTACCACATAGATGCATTCTCTCATATCTAGGCCCAAATTTACAGCTCACTGCTTATCTGAGCGAGCTGAGCTCATGGCATACAACTACAGCTTGGACCCTGGCATCAAAGCCGTAGAACTACAGGACAGACCCCGCAAAGGATTAAAGATCAGTGACAATATTTGGAGATTACATATATGGCTGCCAGTTATTCATGAAAATTTTTTTGAAAGAACTCAGTATATAACTGATCAGCCAGACTGTAATGCATATAATAATGTTTTATGCACAGAAGACCATCATTTAGCATGAGTTTATTTGGCACGATTTGGGTACAGTAGGGCCCCGCTTCACGGCGTTCCGCTAATATGGTCATTTCAAATTATGACCAAAACTCTTTACACGGCTCCCCCCACCTAACTTTCTAATATGGTCACCGTGCCCCACTCGGTTTGTTTACATTCTCCGTGAGATCCTTAAGCACTAAGTCTCTCCACTATGTCTAGAAACTCCAAAATTTCAAGTGATTTTAGGTTATTTCATATTTTATGTATACTCTGATAATTATACTTATGTATACCTGTACCTAAATAAACTTACACACTGTGCTGGCATGCAGGTACACATTAAAAATTCAGTAATAGTGTCTTATGTCTCGAGACACAGTAGTAGTAGTAGTGGTAGTGGTAGTTGTAGTGGTAGTAGTAATAGTGGTAGTAGTAGTAGTGGTAGTAGTAGTTGTAGTGGTAGTAGTAATAGTGGTAGTAGTAATAGTGGTGGTAGTAGTAGTGGTAGTAGTAGTGGTAGTAGTAGTGGTAGTAGTAGTGGTGGTGGTGGTAGTAGTGGTGGTGGTAGTAGTGGTGGTGGTAGTAGTGGTGGTGGTAGTAGTGGTGGTGGTAGTAGTGGTGGTGGTAGTAGTGGTGGTGGTAGTAGTGGTGGTAGTAGTGGTGGTGGTAGTAGTGGTGGTGGTAGTAGTGGTGGTGGTGGTGGTTAGTAGTGGTAGTGGTAGTAGTGGTAGTGGTGGTAGTAGTAGTGGTAGTGGTAGTAGTAGTAATAATAGTAATAGTAGTAATAATAGTAATAGTAATAATAGTAATAGTAATAATAGTAATAGTAATAATAGTAATAGTAATAGTAATAATAGTAACAGTAGTAATAGTAATAGTAGTAATAATAGTAATAATAGTAATAGTAATAATAGTAATAGTAATAAATAATAATAAATAAATAATAATAATAATAATAATAAATAATAATAATAATAATAATAATAATAATAATAATAATAATAATAATAATAAATAATAAATAATAAATGATAATAAATAATAATAATAATAATAATAATAAATAATAATAATAATAAGTAGTAGGTTGGTAGACAGCAACCACCCAGGGAAGTACTACCGTTCTGCCAGATGACTGTGAAACAAACCTGTAACTGTTTTGCATGATGGTAGGATTGCTGGTGTCTTTTTCTGTCTCATAAACACGCTAGATAACAGGGATATCTTGCTACTCCTACTTACACTTTGGTCACACTTCACAGACACTCACATGCATATATATATACATACATCTAGGTTTTTCTCCTTTTTCTACATAGCTCTTGTTCTTCTTTATTTCTTCTATTGTCCATGGGGAAGTGGAAAAGAATCTTTCCTCCGTAAGCCATGCGTGTCATATGAGGCGACTAAAATGCCGGGAGCAATGGGTTAGTAACCCCTTCTCCTGTAGACATTTACTAAAAAAGGGAAGAAGAAAAACTTTATAAAACTGGGATGCTTGAATGTGCGTGGATGTAGTGCGGATGACAAGAAACATGATTGTTGATGTTATGAATGAAAAGAAGTTGGATGTCCTGGCCCTAAGCGAAACAAAGCTGAAAGGGGGTAGGGGAGTTTCGGTGGGGGAAAATAAATGGGATTAAATCTGGAGTATCTGAGAGAGTTAGAGCAAAGGAAGGGGTAGCAGTAATGTTGAATGATCAGTTATGGAAGGAGAAAAGAGAATATGAATGTGTAAATGCAAGAATTATGTGGATTAAAGTAAAGGTTGGATGCGAGAAGTGGGTCATAATAAGCGTGTATGCACCTGGAGAAGAGAGGAATGCAGAGGAGAGAGAGAGATTTTGGGAGATGTTAAGTGAATGTATAGGAGCCTTTGAACCAAGTGAGAGAGTAATTGTGGTAGGGGACCTGAATGCTAAAGTAGGAGAAACTTTTAGAGAGGGTGTGGTAGGTAAGTTTGGGGTGCCAGGTGTAAATGATAATGGGAGCCTTTTGATTGAACTTTGTATAGAAAGGGGTTTAGTTATAGGCAATACATACTTTAAGAAAAAGAGGATAAATAAGTATACAAGATATGATGTAGGACGAAATGACAGTAGTTTTGTTGGATTATGTATTGGTAGATAAAAGACTGTTGAGTAGACTTCAGGATGTACATGTTTATAGAGGGGCCACAGATATATCAGATCACTTTCTAGTTGTAGCTACACTGAGAGTAAAAGGTAGATTGGGATACAAGGAAAATAGAAGCTCAGGGAAGAGAGGGGGTGAAGGTTTATAAACTAAAGAGGAGGCAGTTAGGGAAAGATATAAACAGCTATTGGAGGATAGATGGGCTAATGAGAGCATAGGCAATGGGTCGAAGAGGTATAGGGTAGGTTTAAAAATGTAGTGTTAGAGTGTTCAGCAGAAGTTTGTGGTTACAGGAAAGTGGGTGCGGGAGGGAAGAGGAGCGATTGGTGGAATGATGATGTAAAGGAGTAGTTTAAAGGGGGGAAAAGTTAGCTATGAGAAGTTTTTAGAAGTAGAAGTGATGCAAAAGGGGGGAAGAGTTATGGAGAAAAAGAGAGAGGTTAAGAGAGTGGTGAAGCAATTTAAAAAGAGAGCAAATGAGAGAGTGGGTGAGATGTTATCAACAAATTTTGTTGAAAATAAGAAAAAGTTTTGGAGTGAGTTAAACAAGTTAAGAAAGCCTAGGGAAAGTATGGATTTGTCAGTTAAAAACAGAGTAGGGGAGTTAGTAGATGGGGAGAGGGAGGTATTAGGTAGATGGCGAGAATATTTTGAGGAACTTTTAAATTTTGAGGAAGAAAGGGAGGCGGTAATTTCATGCACTGGCCAGGGAGGTATACCATCTTTTAGGAGTGAGGAAGAGCAGAATGTAAGTGTGGTGGAGGTACGTGAGGCATTACGTAGAATGAAAGGGGGTAAAGCAGCTGGAACTGATGGGATCATGACAGAAATGTTAAAAGCAGGGGGGATATAGTGTTGGAGTGGTTGGTACTTTTGTTTAATAAATGTATGAAAGAGGGGAAGGTACCTAGGGATTGGCAGAGAGCATGTATAGTCCCTTTATATAAAGGGAAAGGGGACGAAAGAGATTGTAAAAATTATAGAGGAATAAGTTTACTGAGTATACCAGGAAAAGTATACGGTAGGGCTATAATTGAAAGAATTAGAGGTAAGACAGAATGTAGAATTGTGGATGAGCAAGGAGGCTTCAGAGTGGGTAGGGGATGTGTAGATCAA